CTCACCATGACCAACTTTTCATGGCCAACTTATCATGACCAATTTGTTATGGCCAACTCACCATGACCAACTTGTAGTGACCAACTTATCACGACCAATTTGTAATGGCCAACTCATCATGGCCCACTTGCCATGGTCAACTGGCCACAGAACAAGAGTGACACTAATATTAAGGACTCCCTGGAATAGAATCAGTAAAGAAAAGAGGCAAAACGAGGCACGGAATGAAACGTGGATGGCCAAAACGACCATATGTGTGTTTTTATTTATCTTCAATCATTCCGTAGAATTGTCCAATTGTCCCACGGTGAGTTGTCCCACCCCGATGGGAGGGGGGGGCTCCTGACCCCCCCCCACCTCAGCAGCGGGGGGGGAGGGAGCGGAGTGGGGGGGGGGCGCGGGGCTCTTTGTGCGGGAGCGCGCGGAGCCTCCGCTGCCCGGCTGCGCTCTGCCTCCTTCTGCAGATGTTGCTGCGCCTCCGCTGGCTTGGCAGGGCGGGGGAAGCGGCGGCGGCGGCGGATCGCGCACGGGGACGCGCCTGGGGCTGCTGGCTCGCTCGGTCGCCTGCCTGCCTTGCCTGCCTGCCGTGGCCGGGCTGGGCGCGGAGCAGCATCCTCGGCGTCGAGGGCGCATCGGGAGCGGCCAAGGGCGGCCGTGGCTCATCTCGGGGGGCCGCTTCCCTCGCGGCTGTGCAGCCTGTCGAGCCGGCCAGCTGAGCGCTCCGAGGCCGGGCATCGCTCGCCGCCCCGGCAGGCCCAGCCGCGGCGGAGGGATGGAGGCCGGGCCGGCGGGGGAGCCGCGCCTGCCGGGCAACGCCGCCTGAGGACGCCCGCGGGGAGAGGAGCGCGGCGCCGGCTCGGTAAGGCGGGCGAGGGGCTGCCCCCGCGGGGATCGGCCCAGCCCCACCCAGGGGAGGGGGCCCGAAGGGGGGCAGGCGCGGTCCGGGGGGGGGAGAAGGGCGGACGGGCTTCGGCGTCACCTGGGCAGGCCTGGCCGCGCACCTGGCCAGCTGTCGAGAGAGCTCGGCCTCCCTCCCTTCCTTCCTTCTATCCTTCCTCCCTCCCTTTTTCCTCCCTTCCTTCCTTCTTTCCTTCCTTCCTTTTTCCTACCTACCTACCTTCCTTCTATCCTCCCTCCCTCCCCTTTTCCTCCCTCCCTCCCTTCTTCCTTCCTTCTTTCTTTCCTCCCTTTTTTCCTACCTACCTACCTTCCTTCTATCCTCCCTCCCTCCCTCCCTTCTTTCCTTCCTTCTTTCCTTCCTCCTTCCCTTTTCCTTCCTTCCCTCCTTTCTTCCTTCTATCGTCCGTCCCTCCTTCCTTCCTTCCTTCCTTCCTTTCTTTCTTTCTTTCTTTCCTCCCTCCCTTTTCCTTCCTTCTCCCCTTCCTTCTTCCCTCCCTCCCTTCCCGCCTCCCCCTTTCCTCCTCCCTTCCTCCCTCCCCTTTTCCTTCCTTCCTTCCTTCCTTCCTTCCTTCCTTCCTTCCTTCTTCCCTCCCTCCCTTTTTCCTTCCCTCCCTCTCTTCTCCACTCCTTCCCTCCCTCCCTTTTTTTTCCCTTCCTTCCTCCTGCCATTCCTCCCTCCCTTTTACTTTCTTTCCTTCCTTCTTTCCTTCTCCCTC